TGGTAAAGGAACGATTAAAGACTTAGAATCTGCCACATATTTATGTTTGTAACCATCATGGATAGCTCTTTCAAGTTTTGTGTTTGAAGCTTTTCTACAAGGCCCAGATCTTTTTAATCAGATTTGAGTAACTAATGTTTTTCTACATTATCTGGTGGGAAATGATTCGTGCTCTTTGGAGTCTTGTTCAGGGGCAAGGGATTTAAAAAATAATAAACTGTTAGTGTTTTAAAATTATGGGAGGAGCTGTAGCAATTTGGGACGTGTTTTATCAGGACAGAGACTTTCTGATGGTGCCTGGTGGAGGCAGAGCTGGCAGCTGGCTGACAGGAACAGTACCAGTGGGACAGCAGGAACCCAGTGGCTTTGGAGCAGCTGATGGATGAATTGCAAACACTGTTTTGTGCCCCTTTGTCTAAGGAACCTTTGTTTTGCTCTTGGCTAATGGGAGATGGTCACCATGGCCAGGAATGACACTCTGCATTCTTAAACTGGTGGGTTTTTTTTTTTGCGGGTTGTTTTTATCATCCGTTGTCAGAAGAGGGCACGGAGATCCTCTAAATATTGGTCTGCCAGCTTAAATGAAGGGAGAGTCCCATCATCTTGTCCCTGGGAGCGGGGAGGGAAGGCTGCACACCTGCCTGTTGATACCTGGGCTGCCTCCTGCAGAGAGCCTGAAGCCTTGGGCTGCACTTGCAAAGTCATGAGACCTATTTGACATCCCCATTCCATGCTGTTCATCCAGTGTGGCCTTGCTGGACTTCCCCCAGTGACAGGAGAACCACGAGGAGGGGTAGGAGAAGCAGCAGTGGTGGTGGTGGTTGGCAGCCTGGCGTTCCCTGTGGGGACATGCAGTTTTGCAGTGAACCTCTTGGATTCCTGACAGGTCAGGTCTGTTGACCCTTCTGGGCACACTGTGGTGAGTGTTTAGTTATTTACTGAAGCCTTTTGAAGTGAAAGTGGCTTGATGGGGTCTGAGGCTTTTGTGTTCTGGAGAGTTGTGTGAGAATCTTTGCTGGGGTTAGCTATTAGCTGATGGTTTCATTATTTGGCTCTGTAACTAAGTAACTAAATGACTTGAGACTTAAGATAAGCAGCTCTTTGTTAACATTTTATTAAATGGAGACTAATGATAATGATAATAATTTAAAACTTAAGGAAGTATAAACCTCTCTCAGTGAATGAATTTGGAACAGAAACATAATTTCGAATACAATTGCGTATCTTAATAATCTGAAATAGAGCAGTCAGAGTGTCCCCAGTCCTCTATTGTGGTCATGGCTTTTATACAAACAGTCTTTACTCCACTTGATGGCTGGATGGAATAAACCATGCTGTGAGGCTGTATGAGCAGGCAGAGAAAAAGTTCACAGCTGTTTATTTAACAGCAGCTTGGTTTTCCATGGCAGTATTGTTCAACAGCTCCACCTATAAAGTTTAAATACATTGTGTGCACCTCTGTTACAAATAAGGATGTAGTTGAGAGCAGAAAATAGCAGAAGCAGTGGTCCCTGTCCTGCAGTGTTTAAGAACTCCCAGAGTCATTCTGCATGTGCCTTTGTTGCTTGTTTGGTGTTCTAAGGGGTGACAGACAGGTGTAATTCACCTCAGTCAGTGCATCTCTGCAGGAGGAACCAGTGCCACAGTTACAGGATTTGCAGGATTTGCTTAAAAAGGAATCTTGTGCCTCCTTAGAATCAAGGAATGGTTTGGATTGGAGGAGACCTTTAAAGGCCATCTTGTCCAACCTCCCTGCAATGAGCTGGGGTATCTTCAACCAGACCAGTCTGCTCAGAGCCCTGCCCAGCCTGGCCTCAAATGTTTCCAGGGATGAGCATCCACTGCCTCTCTGGGCAGTGCCACCCTCCTTGTAGAAACTTCTTTCTATCTAACCTGACCAACCCAGCAAAGGGCTCTGGTGATGGCTGAGGATCCAGATCCAAGGCAGAGCTTCCAAGAGGGCTGGAGGAGCTGGATGTGATAACAGGTCATCAAGCCTTGCCTGGAGAGCAGGGACAGAATCCTGCCGGCAGCCACAGGGCAGCCATTGGTTTGGTGGTACAGCATGGACATGAGCTCAAACTTCGTCCCTAAATTTCAGAGCAGTGCAAAAATCCCTGTGTAGTGTCCCAGGGAGAGTTAACTCTGCAGCATGGGTTGTTTATGTGCTGCTGGGAATTTCTGAACAGTTTGAACTGGTTGATTTTTGCAGTGAAGCTGTTGGGTGGATTCATGCCTCAGAATCCCACCTGTTCTCTGTTTGCTTTTGGGCACCATTTCAAACCCACACTGGAAAAAAGTTTATAGGCAAACATTATAAAAAGTGACAGTCTTAAGTGCTGCTACATTCTAGTTTGGCAACACAAAGGCTTACCTGAAGTAACTCACGATTTCCAAACATGACTTCATTATATCATGACAACACTTTGCTGCATCTTCCCTGATACTCTAAGAGAGAAAGAAATGGAGGAGGATAATATATACCAAATGCTAATACCTGTTTGAAACTTGTTTTTCTTTAGTGTACTACTGATTTTCTTTATAAAAGGAGTTTTTTAATTGTAATTTTGAAATAAATTACTGTTCTCAGGTTTGGATTTGGATTTGTATTGAAAGACTCTGCAAATTTGGAGTTAGTAGTTTAAAAGAGATGAAATCAGTAATATGATGTTAAAGATTTATTTTCATTTTAATTTCCTTTTAATTGTGTGTGGGCTCATCCTGTGAGTTTCCTGACACTGTTCAGCAGAAGGCTCTAATGCATTTAAAGGAGGTTTAAGGTATCATCACCCAAGGTGGCTTTTAAAGAAGTTTAAACAAAGACATTTTTAGTCTCCAGTACATTGCTGTCACAGTGTACACTCTGTAAAAGAAATTTTTTTGCAGGTAGAGTGTTACAAAGAAGTCTTATTTAACTTCAAAGTAAATTAGGTGACTGGCTTCAGGTACCTTCTTTATTTGACAGTGAAATCTAATTTAAAACAATTCTCAAGCAGACTCAAACACACTCATTACTGTGATGAAATATATGTAGAAAGGAGCCCATGCTCCTTCTGAAAATTTGATTTCTGTGAGCGTAATGTGACACACCTCAGTGAAACACCTGAATTGCAGACCTGTGTGTTCATGACTCTATCAGCAAGACTGAATTAATTTATAAGAGGTATAAATCTCTACTGGAGCCTAGACTCTTGAGATGGAACTCTGCATGCTAGGGAGTTAGAGACCTTGTTATAAAATCTAAATCCTAAAAACTTTACAGTCTCTGTAACTGGTCGTGTTTTGGGATGGATTTCACGTGCCACCTTGGTGTGATGTGTGTGTCAAACCTGTTCTTTGAGCAAACATGTTTGCCCTAATGAAAAGGCAGGAGAAGCTTTGATAGGGCACGTTCCTTAATGACAGGATTGCAGGATGAGTGGGAGAGAAATTGGGTCTCCAGGTCCATGAGTAGAACCTGATACCTAAATGCATGAGTCCCCCACCCTGCTGGACCCTTCTGGTGCTCATAGAATCATGTTTCCTGCTGGAATGGACCCATGGAGACCATCAAGTCCAACTCTCTGCTCCTTGCAGGGCTGCACAAAACCCAGCTACTGACACAACTTCAGCATTTCCAGACATCTCAGACGTGGTGCTTGTTTCAGGCTTCCCTGTTGAAAGTGTGATACAGAAAACGACAACCCAAGGAGGAGGAACACTGGTTTCAGGGTTTTGGCATTCTTAGAAGGAAGTAGGGACTTCACCTTTTAGAGCTGCCTCAGATCCCAAGCAGACAGAGAGGTGTTTTATTTATTCCTGGGCTCACAGGTGGTGCCTGTGCAGGGCAGGACGTGTCCGGGCTGCGCGGGGAGCAGCTGTCTCTATGCTCTGACCCTCCCCATGAGCAAACAGAAGATGCCTCTGTGCTTCTTTCCTTTATTTACCATTCCTGCCACTCTTGGTGAGGCCCTTGGGAGAGGGATAGTGTGGAGGTAGGGAGCAACCAGTTGCAGAAGCAGTGCCAGTCTGTGGGACAGCCTGAGCTCATGGTAGGTGTGCTGAGCTTCCCACTGTGGAGACAGTCTGGAGTGCTTGGGGCTGCAGTTCCTTTCCCCCTGCTGAGAGCTGGCCCTGCAAGGGGGAATGAATCTCTAGTAACTATAGGCAGATGTAGTTTTCCAAGGGTGTTTTTTTGGAAAAAGACTGTGGTTTGACATTCTTGTTACCAAAGGGAGCTGACGGATGAGCCATTTAGTTCTGAACTTCTGTGTGTACTTCGACTCTGAAAGCTTTGCTTGTGCTCCTGGGTTTCTGCTGTATTCACTTGGGAGAGGTTGTGAAATAAGTAATGAAGCAAAAAAGAATTTAAAGGGAAAAGTTACTGCCATGGAGAGAAGTGTTCATTGCATAGAAGGCAAATGAGACTTCGTGATGGGCACAGGGAGAAAAATAAAAGGAATCATATATACTGTGTATAGGAACTCATGTTTATTAGTTTAGTGAATGAAGGGGGTTTGGGGTGTCCTTTTCTTTAAAAACAGCACCTCCTAGGTTTTAACAATTAAAAAGTGACTTATAACAAAATCAGGTAGGGAAAGATAATTATTCATTTGAATTGTGGACCTAAATGCTAAGATAGAAAACAGAATTTGCCTTTTGAACCCCTCCTTCTCCTACAAGTCCTTTGAAGTCTCCAGGTTCTGCAGCCCTCATTGTCCCCTGCTCTCTGTGACCCATGAGAGGAGTAATGTGTTGGTGTGGCACTGGGGACAAGGGACATGCCAAGACACTGGTCAAAAGTGCCTGAGCTTTACTCGTGGTGAACTTCTTGAAAATAACCTGCATGTGGTTCAGTTTAACAACACAGGCTGATCGGGACAAAACTTTTTTTTTTTTTTTTTAATTTAACGTAACTTGATTTCCGTGGATACAAAGGGCCTTCACTGACCTGTGTTGGAAATTCTCTCCTTTCCCTTCTCTTTCTTCTATTTTTTCCTCCTTTCCTTCCACCTTCGCAGAGCCGCCAACCAAATACCAAATCTCTCAGCCAGATGTTTACTCAGCACTTCCAGGAGAGACGCTTGAGTTGCGCTGTCAATTGAGAGACGCCGTCATGATCAGTTGGACTAAGGATGGGCTCCCTTTGGGGCCTGACAATAGGACAGTGATTATTGGGGAGTACTTACAAATTAAGGATGCCACAGCCAGAGATTCGGGCCTCTATGCTTGCACTGCTGTTAGGACCCTAGACAGTGATACTCTGTACTTCATTGTAAATGTTACAGGTGAGTGAGTCAAACACAGGTTTTTGCATGCAGAAGGTGTAAGATGTGATGTTAAGACAAATAATGACCTAACATGAAACAGTCCACTAGGGCACAGTGAGTTAAGATGAGCTCTGTAGCCGTTTTGGGGGTTTTTCTCCTCGTCCTGACCCTGAAATTGGCTCAGTTTATATCTACTCCTTTTTGTTCCATGGGTTCTACAAAGATTAACAGCTGCTGTAGAGCTCTCTGTTTTATGCCACTCCGACAGGATTAAAATAGAAAGAGCTGCTGTGATGATGAGAAATCCAGTAGAATGAATATAGGTTTTTGTCCCCTCCATCAGAAAAGGAGAATGTGTGTTCTACATCCTTCAAGTTTAGCGATAAATTGTTCCAGAGATGCTCAGTTCTGTTCAACTGCATTTCTTAAACAGAAGTTAAAATATTAAGTAGAAAGAGATTTTTGCGATTGGCAAACTCCCTTGGGAAACTCTGTAGCACTTCAGGACTATTAGCTAGTTTTGTTGCAATTTTATGTGGAAATAGCACATTTTGTGGCTGGATTTTCTTTTTCTCTAGCTTCTGCACAACTAACATAAACACTTGTTTTTCTTAATATACAGTCTAAGATGTAGCTTATCAATTTGTTTTTCTGTAAAAAAAAAAAAAGTAGGCTGGTTTAAAGACTTGGTTGTTTTTAATGTGCAGATGCTCTTTCCTCTGGGGATGATGAAGATGACAATGATGGGTCCGAGGACTTTGTGAATGACAGCAACCAGATGAGTAAGTAACAACGAACTGCCAGAAGTCACTAGCAAGATCCACGTGGAAAATTATGTCCCATCTCTTGCACTCTTGTCTTCAGAGCTTCTTGATTGTTAACTGCATGTCCTGTCAAGTAGTGGTATCTTTGTCCTCCTCTGTTTTCTGTTTCATGTAGCTCGTAACTTGGAAAAGAAAAATAAAAATAAACTAGTATTCTTCTGAATGTGCTTTTCTGGTCTGTACTTTCTTTTTTCCCCTTCTTCCTGGCGTTTCTGCAGTTTCCTTTCTTTCTGAATTGAAGTTTGGTCTTTGTCTGGTTTACACTCTCACAGATGAACTAACTTTTCCTCAACCTGAGCAGAAATGCAACAGAAGAAACAAAGATCCAGCTCATTTTGTTAAAAGGTGGTATGAAAACTTAAAAAAACCCTTAAATTGTAATGAGGAAAATACTTCAATCCCCAATTCCAGCAGAAATCTCACCAGGGATAATGAATTTGGAAGCAATGAGGTTCTTTTGTCTGCAAAGGACCTTAAGGTTTGTTGCAAAGAAGGCGATTCAGTGCTAAACCCACATTTTATGTTACTTATGCATGATGAAAATGGGCTAAAAGAGTCTTAGACCTATTTGAATGCGTTAAACCTCGTCCCCTTTAGAGAATTCCTAAAGCTATTAATAAACTCTAAATAGAGCACTCTCTAAGAGGAAAAAAAACTGTGTAAAATTCATATTGGCTCCTTGTGCCACTGTGCAGCGTTGCAAAACCCCCTCGGTGGCTTGGTGGTTTGCTGTCGCTGGTAAAGGCAGTAACACAGAGAGCACAGAAATCCTTTGGGGGAGATGACAGTGGGCAGGGAGTGCATTTGGTGCTCAGCCTGGCAAGGAGCTGGCAGCTGCCCTGCAGCTTGGAGCACTCGCTCAGGTGGGACAGTGTGGGGCTGATCTCTGTGCCTTTTGTGTGCTGCTGCCCCCGGTCTGGAGCTGTGAAACGTTAGATGCTATTTAAAGTGATATAAGTTCCTAGCTGCCTGTTTGGCCTCTGCCATCTGTTAGTGTGATTAACCCTGGGCTGATGCACAGGTGCCTCTGGAAGGGGCTGAGATCAGGCAGCTGGAGGCTGCCCTGACAGAGGAATGCAGTGGCAAAGAGAATGGGAGCGCTTGGAAAAGGGACACTGCTTTTAAAGGAGGTTGTCTAGGCAAAACTCACCAATCCAGGCAGTGTTAGCTCTGCCCTGAAATGGACCCGTGGTTGGAAATTCCTTTTAGGAAACTTTTCTGATGCTTGCTGTTCCTTAAAGCTTTACTAGTATTGGTCAGAAAAGGGTTTGTGATATTTTCAGTGGCAATTGTGCTTCTGATCTGCAGTGGTGGCTTTGGTGATCCATTGTGAGCATAAATGGCTTTTGGAAGAAGTGAAGGACCTGCTCTCGAGGCAGCTGTGCTCTGTAATGGCCTCAGAAGGATTCCTGCCCTTCCAGTGACAGGGAGCAGTGCCCAGCGGTTGCGCTAATGACGTTCTTGTAAAACGAGCTATCATTTTAAGCTACTGTTAATCAATCTTGATTGGGGAGCTGGTGAAAGGCCCTTGACAGTGTCCATCTGCTGGGACAGGGCTGTGTGCTGCAGCAGGGGCCAGCACACTTTCCCTGCTCTGAGCGAAAGATGCCTCTCGGGCGTGAGAGTTTAAACATCGCGGATGGAGGGGAAAGCACAGCCATAAAGATGGAAGGGAGGAAACTGCAAAAGACAGATCTGGGCCTGAGCAGAGCATTCCACAAGCAACTCCTTGTTGGATTGCTCTTTAGATGGTGCCCACTGCCTGCTGAGGGAGCAACACAGCCTTCCAGGGTTTGAGCTGGAAGCAGGACTTTGACTGAAGGGTCGCAGCACCGTGTCCCACCAAGTATTCTAGAGTGCTCAGCGAAAAGTTGCACCCCTTGGATTAATACAAGGCTGCTGAAAGAGGGTTGTGATTTGGCAAATAATATGTGAAAATCAGGGATGGGACTTGGTATGGTGTGCCTAGTGCCTTGTAAGTCTTCTTTTCCTCTTCCAAGTTTTCTATCGCATCCAAGAGGCCACAGCTAATTGAAGGCACTGTGCTGCAAGGCAGATGGAGGAGGGATCAGGAGCTGTCTTCCCTGTGTGTGTTGTGGGGCAGGCAGTGGTGCACAATGGCCAAATGTCCTTTACCCTTCCCTGCCTAAGGGATGTTGAGCCTGGCAAAGTCCACGACCTCACAGTAGTCCCTGACTGCTGTTCTTCTACAGAAGTCTTTTAAGTGTTTCCTCAATCATGGTTTGAGCTTTGCAGATCTCAAATGATTTAACTGATAATTTACATACAAATTATAGCTGTGATCATTAAGGATAAGCAATGGAAATTGGCCTGGTTATGGCTTTACTGATGGAAACAAAAGGCCATAGTCTTCAAAGGTTGTTGCTTTTTGATGAAACAGTTCTGATAAAGTCCAGCTGTCTTGGCATGTTAATTATGATGAGATGAAGCAGGAAATGGCTGTAGTGCCTTCAACAGGAAGCTGAACCTTGGCATTCTCATTCCTGCATACTTAAAACTAAAACAAACCTTTTAGAGCTGTTTTATTCACACTGCTAAGTATTCTTTTAAGCTGTTTTATTTTCTTTGTCTCCTTTGCAAATACGTATTTCAGAGGCCAAGGTTTCTGAATGCAGGTGGAGAGGCTGTTGAGGAAATCTAGTACAATTTTCAAGGCTACCCAGAAAATGCAATTGCTCTTGAAGTCAGTGGAGTCTGTCGGTGACTCTGTAGATATGAGGAGCAGCTTCTCCTTGGGGAGAGGAGGGCACTGGTGTGTACCCATGTGCATTTGACCATTGGCTCTGTGTGTATTTTTCAGTAAGAGGCACGCAGAGCAGATTTCACTCTGTGTTTGCTGTCCCTTCAGCTTGACAGATACTTTAACTGTCTGAAAAAACACTGTGGTAGATTTGTTCCAGACTGCATCCTGAATAGCTTTTTATTACTTCCAGCTTTTGTTGAAGGGATTAGTGCTCGTGGAGAAGGTGCAGGATTGGTTCCACTGCAAAACAGTCCCCTTTCTCCACAAAATGGCTTAGTTGGCAACTCAAGTTTTCCCCTTTGTTACCCTAAAGATGGGCCTTAGCTTGGTTCTTGGAGGGTCATCTCCAAAGACTTGCTTTTACAAACTTTTGTGCTGATCATCATTCTGGCAGCAGTGGAAAAGACATTGCTGGCACTTACTGCCTTGTCCTTGTTGTGATTTTGGGAGGTAGCCCTAATTTGAGGGATTTCTACAATCCTGACCTGATGCTGGCAAGGCAGCAGCTGTTGTGGTGGTTGCAATCAAGTCCACCAACTAATTTATTCTGTAGACCTCTGGGTAGCCCTGAAGATGCTGCTGCTCTGCCTTGAATTCTGGTCAGGCAACTGGAGGCTTTATGACTTTTTTTTTTTCTTATCGCCCTTTAAACAATTTCTTCTGGGCCGAGCAATGGTAAATTGGCACCAAGAACAAAAAGTATCTAAATGTAATCCACATGCTGTTCCTTTCATGCCTTGAAGAGTTTCAGAAAGGATGAAACAAGGTTCAAATTCATCAAATCCTGTAGAGTGGAAACCCACTCAGGGGAGCAGCAAAAATTGGATGTTGCCTAGAAGTGTTTTTTAATTAAAGGTCAAATACAATAGTAGTGAAAACCTTGGAGGGGTTTGATGTGGTCACTTCTGGCACTCTATTGCCTGCTTGAGGTGCTTGTCAGGCAGGCTTGGAGTTGACTGCTTTTGTGTTTCTTTGTACTAGGTAAGTCCAAATAAAAACTGAAGAGTCCTGAAGTGGTCCCCTGGGCTTCCTAATTTCAATTTCACATGCAGGAGATTTGGCTGATTAGATGTAATGTCTGTGCAGTGTGGGTCAGCAGGATATTTTCTTCACTAATGAGAACTCTATGGGCAATCAGGAATTCCCACCCGTTCCCCTGCTGCTTGTTGCTGCTTCATGCTGGAGTCTGCCCTGTGGTTACTGTGAACTTTCAGCAGTGGTGCCACCAACTTTACCTGTCCTGATAGCAGTGATGGGATGTGATGGACATGGCCCTGAGAGCAGTCAGCACCTGGTGCTATCTACTCATTAATTGTGCTCATTATGGGTTTTAGTGAAGCTCGGCGTTTTTCCTCTCAAGACAATTAGAAGCCCTAAAAGGTGTTTTGGGTTATGATGATTTAATCTATAAAGAAGAATGCTTTGTGTTGATCAGATCAATCCACTGGATGAAAGCACAATTTGAGGGCAAATGTGAAGGTTTGTGGATGTTGCTGCCTTTTCTTCTTTTCCTTGAACATGCTGAGGAGCTGCCAAATGTAGGATGTCTTGAAGCATTTTCAGATGGTGCTTTCCATATGTGATGTCTGCATGTTTTTCTCCAAGCTGACCTGTAATTTAAGAGCATTGCAGGTTATGCTGAGGGTTGGGTGAGGGGAAGCTTTCCAAACAGACCTTTCTCCCATTCTGGGGTATTTATTTTCCCTTTCTGTGGGACAAAACAGAGCCACTTCTCTTATTCCTGCCTGCATCTGCTTGGCCTCTTTTCTGCACCCATCTCTGTCAGAGATTTCCCTCTGTGCATTTGTTGTATTGGAGCTTTTCCAGGAGCAGATTGTTGATGGAAAGGATAGTTCCATCCAGAGGATGGAATGGACCATAACAGTACAAACCTGGCTGTATGAAGCAGCTTTGTTTGGGGAGCTGCTGGAGGCTGCATCCTGACCAACTCCAGTGCCCTGGTCCCAGTCTGCAGCCTGATGGGAACATCCAGAGCTTGGCCCTTCCAGCCCGTGGGCTGCAGGGCAGCTTTGCCATGGGTGAGCTGTGGAGCTCGAGGCTCAGAGGCTGCATTTGCTCACTCATGTGAGCTCTGTGTGCTCCCTAAGTGTGAGAGAGGTTCGTGTGATGGATGTGACCATGCTGGCTGCAGAGTTGCTGGCTTGGCAGTATCCATTTGGGACTAAAACAAGCCCTCTGCTCTGGCTGGGGTGCTGAGACAACTGGTTTGGATGGTTGATTGTCTTTGACCTGCTCTAGTTTTCTTTGACTTTGTGGGAGCTGTGAGCAGGGCCCAGCAATGGTTGCCTTGTATTGCCTTGTGGAAGACTTTTTAGCAGTCCAGGGAAAATAGCTTTTTAGTCCCTCAGTACCAGCATGTAATTCTGCCTTTGCCTGCTGTACTTGTAATGTAATTTGGCCTTTGTGTGTAGCAGTTAATTCCTCTGTTTGGCTTTGTTTAAAGTCTTCTGTTGTTTTAATGTGATCCTGCTTTTAGCAAATAATGTTAACAGTGATTTTCCTTGCATCCCTAATTCACTTTAGTCTGCGTAACAATTTCTTAGTGTTGCAGTTAAATTTTCAATAGTTACTTGATTTTCTGTTTTGATTACATGCATAAATTTGCTTTGCTTTTCTACTTCATTAATTTTAACACTAATTGCCACTTCAGGCAAAAAAAAAAAAAAACCAAACACTTATCGTTCATAGCATCATTATGGGACTTGCTTTTAGAATGTTTTCTTTATACTGAGAGAGATTTTGTTAAAGGGTTCATTCCTGTATTTTCTGTCCAGCTGTATTTTTATTTAGAGAGGGGGAGTAGCAGGATTTCTGAGTTTGCACTGATTGTAAGAACTGCTATAAATATTTGAGGAACGGAAGAATTTATTTATAGTGGAGTGTTGGCTTGCTAATGAAGGAAATGAAACAGGGCTGGGAGAAATGGAGTTATTCTTCTGTACCCCTCTAGTCCTAAAAATTCCACGCTAATCTGATTTGCTTCAGGAAAACTCCATTGTAAAAAAAATTAATGTTTCCTACTATTTACTAGATCTTGAATCTTTAACTTAAAAAAAAACTGTTACGGTGAGATGACTAAAGCAATGCCATGAAGTCATTGAGAAATGTAGATGAAGTGGTGCAAGGACCCAGAGCATGGGATGGCTTTGTCTTTGGGTCTGTGTATCCAAGTTTACTTTTGTGAGGGTAAAAACATATGGGCAGTTGTAAATTCTGTTCTGCTGTGTTTTCTCTACTGGTACATGACAAATGTGCTTCTCATGACATTCACGTGGGCATAAGCTGGGCAAGGACATGGGAAGGAGTGAGTGAGAGCCAGGAGAGCCATGTCAGGGTCTGGGAAAATGATCACCTCAGAAAATGTGAGTTGAGAGAGAGGCACTCTCATTTTGTGCCATGTTTTTGGATGCCACTGACCCTTTGGACTTTAAGAGGCCCGTTAGTGTGGGAAAGCCCTTCAAAATGAGAAATTATTTTGTTGATCCACATTTCCTCATTTGATTCCATCTGCTTGGGTTAAGATTTCAGAAGTATGTTCCATTTGTAAATAGATTTCAGTGGTTTCCGTGGCAGTAGGAGCACAGTTCACCTTGGCTTCACACGTTGCAGGCTTTAGCTGCTGTCAGGCAGGTGGGTGTTTTTATCCCCCTTCTCACAGAAGGGGAAAAGGGCTGATGCTTCCAAGCATCTTCTGTCTTGGTTTGTCTGGCTTCACAGCTGAGGGGGAAAAATTCTGAGTTTGAACCATCGCAGTAACTCAGCTCCAAAGTGTCTGATGAAAACCTGGTCCCTGTGTCTTGATGTACACAAAACAAAAGTTGTCTGTGGTTAATTACTGGAGTTTTGTCACAAATTAAATAGCCTGAGCAGCAGATTGAGCCGTTTGCAAAACCCTGGCTGACACTTGCAGCAGCTGATCTGCCGTGTGCTCTTTTTGAACCAGTTGTTTAAAAACGTCGCGTGTTCTTTTTAAACCGCGCTTCAAGCGGGTTCCTGGTGGAAGGGGCTGGAGGGGGAGCTCGGTTTCCAAGTGCTGATGTTTCTGGATGTGTCCCTTCGGAACAGGGGCGCCTTACTGGACACACACGGACAAAATGGAGAAGAGGCTCCACGCCGTGCCGGCCGCCAACACCGTCAAGTTCCGCTGCCCGGCCATGGGAAACCCAACGCCCACCATGCGCTGGCTGAAAAACGGGAAGGAGTTCAAGCAGGAGCATCGCATTGGTGGCTACAAGGTAAGGGCTCGTGGTGGAGTTTTGGAGTGTCTCTTCTTGACCAAAGCTGTAAAAAAATATAAAACCAACCAAACAACCCAAAGCCAGCCCTCCTCCCCCTCAGAAAAAAAAAAAAAAATCAAAACCAGAAATCCACCAAAAACTTGCTGAAGTCAACAGAAAATCTTTTAGCGGCCTTGGATCAAATGTGGAAGCAAAAAGAGGTGGTTGTTTTCTTCTGGGGAAGGTGGGTGGTTTCTTTGGCAGTTACTGAGCACTAATTTTTTTTTTTTTTTTGAAATTCAAGCTTCTAGCCTAGCAGTGCAGCTAAGGATTATTTATAGAGACGTATTTGGAAAACTAAAGACTGACTTAGCGAAGCAGATTAAGACTGTTTTGCTCTACTCATTTTTGGCTGCATTGTTAAAAACATGACCATCCGCTTTGGTGAGTGTAAGGCAGTTTAATAAAGGAAGCCTTGGAAGTCAAAAGTTATTATTTTCTATAGAGTTTATGGCCTGTGAAACTGAAATGGGAAGAAGAATTTGAGGGAAAGTAACAGCAATTACTTGGAAGGGTTTGTTTGAATTTTAAATAGCTTCAGATAAGATGTCTTATTCTGAGTTGGTGGTTACTGATTAAGAGAGAGTTTTAGGGAGGCCAGCTCGCTCTGTGTGTCAGTGCACAGACCTTTCACCTCGTGGTATCTGCCTGGGTCAGGTCAGAAGTCAGGATTTGGTCATCTGATCCCTCTCCTCCAAGGAACTGGGAATGCGTGACTTTGGTGGCAAATTGCTGTTCAAGCATGGCCATTTCTGACTTCACCTCCCGTGTGGATCTTCTCTCAGTGGTTTCCTCATGTCCCTGACACCTCTGCAGCTCTTCCCTCAAGAGGAGAAGTTTCGAGCAGTCCCCTTGTGTCAGGAATCCCCAGCCTGGAGCTTGTGCTGAGCTGCTCAGAGCAGTTTGCAATGGTCATTAGACGCAAGTTAATTGTCTTTGCTAGACAGAGCTCAATTCTGAGTCCTGAGGCTGCCCCCCAGTCCTGCCCCACTGCTTTGCCCCATGGTTGCAGTGTTTTTGGGGGGCTGCCTTAGTTGAGCCATTGCTTTGTGAGCTGTCGATTCAGGTCCTGCCCGGTGCAAAAAATCTGTTTTCCAGTGCAGAGGAGGGCAAGCCTCAGTCTCCTTTCCTCTCTAGCTGGATTTACTGTAGAAAGTGTCAATTTTTCCAACATTTGTGTTAGCAGAGAGCAGAGCCCAGAAAGTCTCCCTGCTTGAGCACTAATTATCTAAGTAGACTTTTCCATCTATGTTTGCTTACACCATAAATTTCTGTTGCTTATGAGTGTACACCTGGCAACACCTTCTGCCTTTCATAACGCTGTGGAGTGTTAATGAATTGGCTCCCATTCAGTGATTTTTGCCCTTCTCTGTGCTTTTTTAAAAACAAAAAAAGTGCCAATTAAGGGAAAAAAAAAAAAATCCCCAACCAAACTAATCCTGTCTTGGAAAATAATAGTAACTGTGCTGGTAGTAACCAGGCTGTTACTTTGAACACTTTGCATCTGATGAAGGGGAAATGAAGATATCACTCTTGAAGACCATGTAGGAAAATGTGTGTCTAGAGAGGCAGGATGGGGATACCTGGTGTCTGCTTTGGGATCTTTGGTGGGTAAATCAGCTCGTGTGGGGCTCTGTGCTGCCACTGTTAGTCTGGGTTAGGGAGCTGGGTGAGATCATTTAGAGTTGTGCCCATTAAGTGGCACAAATTCAACTTTTGGTCATGTGTATTAAATGCATGCAATTTCCTAGGTATGTATGTACTCTGGGAAGGAACTACAGATGCCTGTTCCTAAAAGCCAGCTGTACCTCTAATTCTAAATCATAACTTCTTATATCTCTTTAGTCCAAAGGAAAAAAAGAGGGCACACAGCTGAGGATTTCAGACTTTCTTGTTGCTTGTAAAGACATTACATTTTAAATTATCTTGTAGGATTTACTTACCGTTGTCAAATCAACCAAATCTGTGTATATTCTATTTTCTGTCATTTTGAATAATCATCTTTGAAGATGGAAGTTTGTTCACAGTGAAGGGGTGTTAAAGAGTGAGGACTCCATAGTCTTTTTTTTTTGAACTGTGTCCTCATCCTGTTTAAGGGGCAGGATGAAGTCACTGTGGGCTTAAGAAAAATTACACTAGAATAGAGAGAATAGTATTTTCTTGACACCACTTTTATTTTATTGCCAATGAACTTTTATTCAAGGAGTCCTCAGGAAGGACTGAGTCTATTCGTTTTGGTCTGTGTTTAACCAGGTATCACAGCAGCTCATGCTAAATCTTGCACATTGCTTTGTCTTGAATCTGGGTGTTGCTCTCTGCAAGGCATTTTTGCTGGAGATATTCACAATATTTGGGATAGAATAGCTGGAAGGAAACCTGGCCATATCTGACAGAAGAGACAAACATCCTTTGAAGCCCTAAGGGACAAAGGGAAGGGAAAGAAAACGTGAAACTTCTCAGTAATCCTTCAGCCACCTCTTTCCTGCTAAGAATGAGAAATCCCTTGGTGTATTGTTTTTATCAAAATCAGATAGTGGTCTGTAGCACTTTGTCCCTCGGACTGGGGAATGTCTTGAGTCAATTTGCACTTGGGCAGGCTAGCAGGAGGGTGTATGTTCTGGCCAAGATAGCTTCCAGGGCGGAATTCCTGCACTGTGACTAATTCTGGGTGGTGAATTTCAAAATTGATCCTTTTATGATCTTTCAAGATATACCCAACCTCCTTAAAATAAAGAGAACAGGATCAGTTACTGAATAGCTAAATCCTTTTTACTCTGATTTCTCGAAGTGATGATAACTCTTGTTTGTGCCTTTGGAGGCATTTTATATTTTCTTTGAGTTGATAATCTAAATCCTCTCAGAGACCACAGGAGCCTTTTCTTTCCTGTACACCACCCAGAAAGCAAACGCATTTCTATCAGCTGTTACTGTTTAAGCATTAACACGTGTGTGTTTGCACCTATGCATTTGGATAAGCTTCATCACTGCAGCTGTCTTAAACACATTTAAATCCAGCCAGGTAAATACAGAGTAAGAAAGTTCATGATTACAGGAACAACTGCAGAAGCCTATGGCCTCTGCCAGGGGTGTTCTGTGCTTGTTCTCTTTGTCTGAGCAGTACCACTGTACTGCTGTCTGAGCTGTGCTGCTGTTGTGAAGAGCTGTGTTTTCATTTCTAATCCTTCTTTCCTTTGAGATTAGTTTAAAATTGATCTATTTTTAGCTAACTGACAACTTTTCATGGCATTATCTCTCCAGTGAAGACACACATTTTAAGACTGAACAGAACCGTCCACTCTTCTTTTTGGGAAACTCCAAAAGCAAAAAGTTTATATGAAAAATTCCTTGCCCTTTCCCAGTTCTCTGACCAATATTCCTTGGCATTTTGATTCCAGTTTGTTTCCCACCTCCAAGCTATAATTTAACAGTGCAGCTTGTATGCAGTTTGATACTGATAATTCAGTTTAAAAATGGAATCTTTTGTTTGGAGGAATGGTTAAAACCTTAATGGAGAAGAACTCCCCCCCCCAATAAAGCTGTCAGTAATTTGCTAGAAGTGTCCATAACTAGTCAGGAAAAAACCTGAACTAAGGCATGTGGCATTTCACATTAAAAGACCATATTACTAAAGCCTGTGTTTCAGGCTGTGTGGGTGCAGGGATGTGGCTGGAGTATTGCATGTCTGAGAATGAAAAGTTGAATTTGGAAATCTTCAGTGGGAGAAGAGGCTCCTCATCCTCAGCAAAGGGGGTTTTTCCTGGACTTTGCAATGCTGCACTTGTAGCCAACAATCTTGTTGGATCCAGATCCCTGACATAAATCCAGTTGTCTGACAATGTGTCATAACTCCTTTGGACCTCTACAGTAGTTGTTTAGCTTAAACCAAAGTAGCTTAAGCTGTTGTTTTGTTTTAAAGATATTATCTCTGTCTATGGATTTACAAGAAGGGAAATTGCACAAATACTTTTTAATATTGCCATCCAGTATATCCACTTGTGGCTGTTAAGTTAGATATGTTTTTTTACTGAACATAAACAATTTCTTGTGTTTTCCTGTCAAATTAATTACCTGCAGTTTTTTTGAAATTTTTATTTGTTTTAACTTTTGTGGCAATGTGATCTGGTCTTCCTGTTTCACAGTCACATTGGTTAAAAACTCTTGCTCTGATTCCGAGAAGTGTGTTTTAACTTGTTTTGGCAGAAAGTTCAGGTCACTTTGGCCAAGTGTCCTTCAAAATAAATCAAAGAAGTATTTAATACTCAAAATATGTAGCTGTTTATTTGTTATTTACAAACAATTTATGACAGCAGCTCTTCCTCACCCAAACTTTGACTTTCAGAGTTGCTACGCAGAACAACGAGATGTTAAAACAATACTGATAAACTCTTTCTAGTTCTATAAACTTATCCTTAGCCCTTCACAGTGCGAAGAAATGTCAAGATATTTTAATGAAATCAATATAATTGTTTGACCATCAACACGAGGGGCTGAGGAGAGAAGCCTTAAGTTTAGGCTGGAGATTTTGAGGCCGTGTCACAATTTCTCTGACATTAGCATAGCATCTTCTCCTGCTGCTGGAGTCTTGCCCACACTTTCTTTGCTTTTCAAAGCTCACATGGCCAGTCATTAGCTAATATTAGTCCACAACTGAGCAATAAGAGACATATCCAGCTATTGAGATAATTCCTAGCTGGGGCAACTAGGATATGCCAGGAGGTGCCTATAGAAAGAACTTCTCTTCCAAGCTTTGAACTGAAGGCATTTTTACCTCCAGCAAGTGCTCTTGGCACTGGGATGTGGCCCTGTGCAGCTTTTCCTGCTGGATAAGGACCTACAAAATAGTCAGGCCCGATGCAGGATTTCATAGCTATAGTTGTAATGATGTTTTAAGAATGTATGGTTACTGGAAGCGTCACTGAATGGTCCATAAATTTTTCTGGTGTACAGCACTGAATTACTGCTTTCCATTTGGCTGATTAAAATGATTGTAGCAGATTGTGTTTTATTCCATTTGCTGAAATATGTACTTTGCTGTTGAAGAATTGTACGTTGCAGCTACAGAGAATGTTAAGCTTTCTGAGCACTTTGTCAAAAATGTAATGCTAAAACAAGGAATTTGTTTTATAAGATATAGCCAGCAAAAGGTCATTTTGGGAGCCAACTTCTGATGCAGGAAATATATGTATGTACCGGATGGCTCTGTATCCTTCCAGTACTGGGCTGGATCCTATTTTCTGTGAGACCAAAGCCAGTGCTCCCTTGGAGCTCGAAAAGGAATGGAATTAGTACCTTTAATAAATTCTGAGAGGGATTCTGTGAGATAAATATAATTATAAAATATATATATATTATAATCCTATATTATTTTATATTAATACTATAGTATATATATTATTATTTTTATTATTTATTTTATTTATAAAATAGATATAATAGAATCCTTATGCTCTGTTTCCATGAGGACTTTTTTCGGGCATTTTTAATGAAGTAGCATGTTTCTAGGATTCATTTCTTTCTTGGGGTACCCCAGAGCAGCAGGAGTTCTGGGGGAGGCATCCCAAACATAACCCCTCAGTTTCTCTAAAATGTGAGCTGTGTCATTGGGCTTTTAGGAAGGGTGAAGACGTGGATGTTTAGGGGATCATGTCCATCCTGGGTTGCTGATGGGTAGTTATTACCAGGTGGCTGTTTGGAGACAGATGGGGAATACCCTGAGAGTGTGCATTCACTTTAGAGTGGATTGAAAGACAAAGTCCAGTAAGACAACTGCTGCTAATTGGTGCCACCCTGCTCAGCCTGGGAGGACTGAGTGTGCACTGACATCTGCAGTGCTTGGAGCAGGGGCCAGGTAGATTTACAGCAGAGGGTGTGAAAGCTTTCACCCTGCAGCCGTGCTGTCCTGCATCAAGCACAAATCATTTCAGCATCCAGAACTGTCAAACGAGCGCAGAAGAGGCTTCCAGCTATGGATTACACCAGGTTAATTATTCAGGGAACAGTTTTTTGGAAGGGGAGAGGGTAAAACTCTGCTTGAGAAGATCCCAACCTGCCTGGTTCCATCCCCCAGGTCCGTAACCAGCACTGGAGCCTCATCATGGAGAGCGTGGTGCCGTCGGACAAGGGGAACTACACGTGCATAGTGGAGAACCAGTACGGGTCCATCAACCACACCTACCACCTCGACGTGGTTGGTAAGTGAAGCTCTCAGGGGCAGGACAACGTTTGTCACTAATGGCTTTCTCTATTAAAGCATTTGGAAGCGAGCTGATGCATTCCACGTTTATTTTGGAGATGATTTCACAGTATTCTAAAGATAAGATTTAAGCCAATTGCTTCATAACTTTGTATATTCATCTGTCTCACTTGTGCCTGTAGGATTAATCTACCCCTGCCTTGGCAAAAAGTGTAATATCCATGTGCAATATCCACCCACAGGTTTGCCATGACGACCAAATAATACATGCTGATGCAACTTTAATCATTAGCATTACAATTTAATTATTACTTTTACAATTGTACTAACACAGGCTTTAATAACTGCAGTTAGGAAAACTGTCAAGCAATCCTTTAGAGTCCTGTTATTATAGCTGAAATTATTATTTTTTTTTTTTAAATGAAAAGCTAGATATTGACTTTGCAGCCAGAGCAGACCTGGAGCTTCAGGAAAGGGAGTTTGCATTCACAGCAGCTCTAAGCCTTGTTGGGTGGGCTCTGAGCAGTCCCCAAAACACAGATGATAAAAATTCAGAAGTGTTTTACCTGAGGACAAATTCTAAACAGCTGTGTGGATTTTTAAGTAGCAGCAAAGCTGTGATTACAGGCTTAATAATATTACCCAATTAATACCTAAATCCTGATGACTTTAATAAGGCTTACAGATATTTATTTAAGTGGTTAGCTAAATTAGAGCTTGAAATCTCAGGAACAATTTCTGTTCACCTCTAGTCTTTCTGATTAGCCTGGATGGGTGTGAGCAATTTTATTGACTCTGAAGGCATTGTCCAAAATAACCAATGTGGCTTTTCTTACAGCACCTTTAGGGAACTGAGTCATGGTTTCTAAAGAATATCTTGCATGGGCTTTGCTGTCTCCACCTTTGTGAAGTGATCTGAGCATTAGAAGCTCTGTGAATAGAACTTTTGATCAATCACTACTGAAAGCAAATATTAATTTGGTTATTGTATGCTATTTTTGGCTGGTGACACACAGCCAAACTCCATAGATTCTTTGTGGAATATCTTACTGTAAGGGCTTATAGAACTTAAATGGTGAAAAAATGTTAATTTCCCTAGTTCTTGATTGGTTTTACGTGAGAAAAAATATATCCCTTGCATTGTTTTGGATGGTCTTTAAGAGTAGTGTCTTGTTTCATCTGAGACCGCCTAAATCGGCAGAAACACACAAATCCAAGAGAAAACAAGTGCCAGCTTCTTGGGTGGCATGAAAGGAAAACATTCCCTGTGAAAATGCCAAGGAGAGCTAGGCTTTGTGGAGCAGAGGAGGAGAAAGATCACTTTGGGATGAGGATGCCATCAGACCAAATCCCCACCACCAGCCTCATCCTTTTAAGTCTTCAGAGCCCCTGAACCACCCAGCTCACCTGTACTTGAGTTTGGGCAGTCAGCACTGAAAGCAGTGAGGATTTTCCATGGCCTAGGCAATATTTTGACCCAGGGTGAGCTCTGGGGATGGTTGAGGTGGGCTGGGTAGCTGGCAAAGCCATTTTTGTTTGAACACTTGTTTAAACAAAATTTATGGAGGGTGCAGCAGCAACGGCTGCCAGGGATGGGTGTCAGTTGTGGGAAGCTGTGTTCTGCATGGTGTGGTTCTCTGCTGGCCATCTCTCCCCGGGCTCAGGCTGCCTGCAGGGGCTTGCCAGGCTCTAAAAACCTCTCCTTGATGAAATGAAACTGGTTAAAAATTCCCCTTCTCTACCCCCTCTTCGTTTTCCTGTCCCAGCCTGGCGTGTTTCGTGTTGACCATAAATTTCTTCTCCCATTTTTTTTTTCCTAGCAAATGTGTTCATGGATGATGCAGTCACTTGAGCAAATATTTGTTAGAAGCCCTCTCACCTCCTCTCCTGCTTTGAGCCTTTTGAATGTCTTACATTGAGGAATATTTTGCAGAAGTTTATTTTTCCTTGCAGTAAAGTATAGTGGCCTGCATGAATGAATGGAATGGTAGTAGGGATTATGTCATTTATTTAAATGTCTAGTCCTTTCCTATAGAGAGGCAGGAAAGTAAATAATGAGGTTTTCAAAAGTGATGAGAGGTTTGGTGTGCTGGGTACCCAGCTGATGGCACCCAGAGGACCTTCCTTGTGTCCTGTAAGAAATGAAACCAGAAGTTCAAAAATTACTTTTGCAAGTCACAACCTGTGTTTTGGAGTCCTGCATACTTAGTAATTTTGCCACTCTTTTAAAAAAAAAATCATTTGATGAGTTCAAGGGTATAATTGCGAGTCTGTTTTCAAACCTGTGCATGGGAATGTGCACCTTGGGTTGAATTTAGTGTGAATCTCTCAAGAGATTGGGATTTTAACCTAAAGGGGGGTTGATGTTGGAGTGCCCAGCCATTCCTGTGCGGCTGGAGGCTTGCAGTAATTGTGGAGCATTCATAAAATTGCTGAAGCAGTAAATTAAGGCTGGCCAGAAGGGGAAACTCTGACAGTTTTTCTAGTTGAGACAGTTCTACAGAGTTAGCTTTATGCCCTTTTTTCTGTTTTCATATGAATTTTCAGTTCCCACAGGGTTGTGGAGAATTATGAATGTTTGTTTAGAGGCAATTGCCTACGTAGACCGCATCTTACGAACTTCAGGTCGTAATTCTAGGTCAAGTTCTGTGTAGAAAGCTGTCAGTTGAAAGCCTCTGAAATTACTTTTTCTATATGGTTTAACTGGTTCCAGAGCTGATTAAGTGTAAGTAATAGCAAATGGTATTAAACATGGTAACATATTACACTAACATGAGCATCTGACTATATGGTGTAATGTAGAGAACCCTCTGATTATGTCACAGAGTTGGGAGGTATCCCAGGAAAAATCGTGCCAAATAGTGACACAATGCTAGTTAGGCATATGCCAATAACTTTCCAAACCTTGAACTCTTTTGACAATTAAAAGCCTGGAGCCAGCAGGGCTGAGAAGTTTTCAGTCAGAATGTAGGTGTGAAGCATTCTCATTTTTACCTTGTAATTACTTGCAAGAACTCTTAAGACTCAGCTCAGATGGTCTTGTTCAAATTTACAGACCTGGCAAAACCCTTGCAGTGATTTTTTTTTTTTAACAGTGAGAGTAGAAAATACAGAAGGAAAAAAAAAGCAGCAAGTCATTGGCAGCCTCTCTACTGCACAGGATACTTGTGCACAGTGACTGTGTTAGCAGGGAATGGCCCATTCAAATTGGCCAGGATGTTCTGTGCTGAACAAAGTTATTCTCTGAATGTTTGGGATACCCCAGTCAATGGCTTTTTCCTTCCTTCTCCATTTCTAAGTGGGGATTGAAGCAGGGCTTTGCTCAGGGACTCAGATGTGTTTGCAAACGGTGGTGATACAAAACTCCAGGAGGATGCTGTCACAGGGAGACGAGTCGATTTTAGCTTTTTATTAGAGCAGTACACAGAGGCTTCAATTAATATTGGATACTTATTGTCCAGGGCAACGTGCCAGCACATAGGAATTGCTTACAACAGAAATACAGCAAGGCCAGGAGAGCGAAATGTCACTGTCCATTTTACAGATGAAAACCTGGAGTGATGAAATTTCTTGCCCTGGGTCACACAGGAAGCTGGTGACAGAGCCAAGAAGCAAAGCTGGTCTTTGAATCCTAATCCAGTACCTTAATTAAAAGAATGTTCTTTCCCTTGTATAGCTTAGCCCATTAGCTGTTTTTTTACATGCAGCTGAAGTGCCTTTTCTCCTCCTTTGTATTTAACAGTAGGTAGAAACTTGGGTTTTTATGGCAAGCTTACTAATAGACTAACTCCATTCTCAGTACATGTATATAAAGTCGTGCAGTCTTGAGGGAGAAGGAATGGGAACGAGGTGGATTTCACTCTCGAGTTGTATTGTAGTGAATCCGGGTTGTAGGAAGCAACGTGGGAATGCAGCCACTGAGACTTGTATATAATTAGATCACTCTTGGATGGCAATTATTGCTGGAGTACAATTTCAGCAGCGGCAGTTCTGTTTGAGCATGGAGGAGCTAATTGAATTTGGGTTTTAACGGCAAAAGAAAAAAAAAAAAGTCACTCTTTGAGCAGTCCTGCTCCAGGTAGCCATTTCTGCCCTATTTAATGTTGTCATCCGGGGAGACAAAAGATGGTTTGGTTTCAGGTGAAGTTTGCCACGTTGCCTCATTTAGTGGGATTTGCAAGCAGCTGCTACAGCACAACACCTCTACAAAGAATATATGATGACCCTGCTGTTTGCTATAAAAATGAATATGCTGCAAATGTATTTTTTTCCAAAAGAAGCCCTTCTGCAGCCAGGTTAGCAGTACTTTAAACAGTTCCTAATTTGCCTAATAGCCATGCCTTTGGCTCTCTTTGCTGAGGAGTTAGCTCCAGGGGTGGCAGAGCACCACGCAGCTGTCCCTTAAGAGTAATTCATATTTTCATATAAAAGCAGTGTGAGAGTAACTTCTCACCCAGAAAGCATTTTAAATGACTCTCAGTTTAAAGCTTTGTGCCTCAGAAATCTCATGTATGAGTGCTTTTACTGATGGCTGTGCAGAAAAACACTTTTATTCTGAACTCTTGGTAGTTTTAGAAGATATATTTTAGGATATTATAAGATATCCTATTTGCCATAGGATAAATTTTGTTCTTGTTTTTTTATGACATGCTGTTAAAAATCTTACTAAAATGGAATCGACATTTTGCTATTGGTACTTCACTGTTTATGTTTCCCTTCGTTTAGACAGAAGGAAAAACTTCTGCTTTTGCTTCTAGTCAAGTTTTATTTTTGGACTTTCATGTCCTCTCCCAGTCTCTAGCTGCGAACATGGCATGAGCACATATTTTTTTTTTTAAAGACATGTTTCCATTTTGTCATTCCCAAATCCATAAAAACATATGGATTGTTGTTTGCCTTTTGCTGAGGCTTGTTGAAATAAAGTTCAGAATTAGTTTGACTCAAGTATAGTTCTTCCCTTGATTTCCAGATTGTTTTTAGGATTCGGGTTACATACGA